TTTCATTATATACGTTAATATATAAAAGGTTATTTTTAATTATTATTTTAATAATTATTTTTTTAATTTTTATTTCTATTATAATTATTATTATTATTATGAGGGGGTTTATTTTATATTACAACAATAAAATTCCTTTTTTTATTAAAAGGACCTTTATTATTTAAAGTTTTTATTTTTTATTTTTTTTTTTAAAAAAGATAAAAAAAATTAAAGTATTAAAAAATTTTTTTATTAAAAAATATATTTAAAATTAAATAAATAAATATTTAATAAAAATGTGGTTATTTATAACAATAAAATATAAAATTAATTTTGTTGATATTACTATGTAATAAAAAACCACGTTTTTTATATAAAAAAAAAAAAGAGAAAAAAAACATAGATATTTAACACACACCCTTTAAATAAACAAATATATATAGTGTGCCACTAGTTTTTTATGTGTGTAGCTTTATAAATGATATTGATTATATATAAAAAACAAATAAAATGTATTGATTAAAAAAAAATAAAAATAATTATAAATAAAAAAAAAATAAAAAAAAAATAAAAAAAAAAAAAACACACACACTGTCACCCATTTACTTTGTTAAGTTACCCATATAAAGTTGTATTTAAAAAAAAACAATGAATAGTAACTCATTATTTTTATTATTGTGATGATAATTTGGTAGTTGTAATGGTGGTTGTTGGGTTGGATTTTAAGTGGTTAAACTATATAAAAAAGTTTATATTTATAAATCACCTGCACAAATAAATAAAACTAATATTTTTGTATGTAATTTCCTTATTAATTTCAACTATTTTTTTAAAAAGAGAAACAAAAAAACTAAATATGGAATGGTATATATTTTTTTCTTTTTTTCTTTATTTTTTTAATATAAAAATATTGAATATGTGGGAGGGTGTGTTTTTGTTTAAAATTTAAATAAAATTAACTCTTTGGATTCCCAAAAGACGAGTCAACTTATTTAAATGATTTACAATATTATTTTAATAAAGTAAATATCATTACTATTTATAGGTCTTATAATAAATAATTTTTTTTTATTCATAACATAAAAAACATGATATATTATTGCAATGTTCATCAAATTGAACAATCAGTTTTTAAATAAAGATTTTAATAAAAAGAATCAAGATTAATAATATTTTCAATTCAGAGAAATTAAAAACTTTAAAAATTAATTGAAAATTCAATTTTTTTTTTTGATTGTTTAAAAAGTATTAATTATAATAAAATTATAAAAATAGATTTGTTAAAAACTATGAATGTATTTTTAGTTTAGATATTATTTGTATATTTTTTTTTAATTATTTTTTTTTATTATTTTTTTTTTTTTTTTTATATTTTTTTTTTTTTTTATTATCAGAAAGAAAAATTTAATAATTTATAAAAATATTTTTTTATTTTTTTATTTTTTTTTTGGTGGTTTTAAAATTTTGTGTGTTAAAAAAGATAATATTTTTTTCCTATTATTTCTATATAGTTTTTTACTTTTTCTTTATTCTATCGAAAAAAAAAATATCGAAAAATGGGAAATTTAGCTATTACAGTTTTTAGAATAATATTTTTTATAGTTTATATGATATTTATATTTTCATCAATTGCATTAAGTGATTTAGTAATGACTTTATGCATACCGATTTTTTTAATATCCAGATCATATTTTAGAAAGATTACAAATTTAATAGCACAATTAGGTATGTATCAAAATAGGGGATTATAGATTAGCAAAAATATAGGTTGATTTTAATTTTTTATTAATTATTATTATTATTATTATTATTATTATTATTATTATTATTATTATTATTATTATTATTATTATTATTATTATTATTATTATTATAGGATGGCCATTATTCACATTAGCATTCGAAACATTAGGAAGAAATAAATTAGTGTACTCTGGGGAATCATTAAGAGAATATCAAAATTTTGATAGTAATAAAAAAATTGAGGGAAAAGATAGAAATGCATTAGTATTAATTAATCATACTCATCATTGCGATTGGTTATTATCATTTTCATTAGGAGAAAGGTGTGGAAGAATTGGTAACATTAAAATAGCAATGAAGGATATTATAAAATATATTCCATTTGTAGGAGCTGGCATTTGGGCTATGGGCTTTATATTCCTATCAAGACAATGGCAAAACGATCAACATAAAATCAATAAAGCCTATAGTCATTTAAAGAAAGATGGTGAACCATTTTGGTTTGTTACACACCCAGAAGGAAGTAGATTTGGACCATCCAATCTAAAATCTAGCCAAGAGTTTGCTAAATCACGTAATTTGCCAATACTAAATAATATATTAATGCCAAGGGTCAAAGGTTTTACATCAGCAGTTTTAGCACTCAACGACACAGTAGATGCAGTTTACGATTTAACAGTGGCCTATAAAAAAGCCCCAGGTAATATGGTTAAATTAATTTATGGTTCAGATCCAACCGAAATTCATATTCACGTCCGTAGATTCCCTCTCTCCGAAATACCAACATCAAACGAAAAAGATATCGAGCAATGGTTATACGACAGATACTACGAAAAAGATCAACTCTTAAAAACATTTAAAGAAAAAGGATATTTCGATCAATCTAAACATTTAAATTTACCATTTAAGTATCAAAAATATTTACCAAATTTAATACTTTGGATAGTTTTATTATTATCATTTTTTACAATTTTAATTAAATTATTCAATTAAATAACAAACAACAAAAAATTAATATAATGTTCACACATAAAAATAAATTGGGATTATATAAATAATAAAAAAAAAAAAAAGCATTGGTGTAATTTTAGAAATATAATAAATAAATAAATTAAAAATATATATAAATATATTTATTTATTAAATAATTTATTACAATTATTTTAATATTTTTTAAAGTATTTGTATTTGTTGTAAATATATTTGTTTTTTTTTCTTTTTTAATATTACATATTTTTTTAAAAATAAAAAAATTATTTAAATAGATGATTTATTGTTTTTGTTATTATATATAAATATTTTTGATATTGTTGCAATGTATTTTTTCTTTTTTTCTATTATTGTAATTATGCAAGATAAACCTTTTGGACTTTATCAATTTTTTGGATACAAACAGGACAAAATTGGAGGAATTGTGAACAGTAAAAACAAATTACATAATGCCCACACCATAATAATACAACATCAGATGGTCTTTCCCAACAAACTTTGCAACAGCCTTCATCTTTTGAACTTAAGCTTGCTATACTTTGTAAAGAACCAGTAACTTTTAAATTATTATTCACATTATTATTACTATTTATATTATTATTATTGTTATTATTATTATTATTATTATTATTATTATTATTATTATTATTATTTATATTACAAATATTATTTACACGATCTATAGTACCACTATTATTGCTACTATTATTACTATTATTATTATTATTACTATTATCAATTTGGTTGATATTAATTTGATTTAAACCAGAGTCGGAAGATGACCATGATGATGCCAAAGAGTCGGTTGCAGTATTTAATTGTGGTGGTGAGTTTAATGGCTGTGGTGTTACTAAATGAGATGCATAATGAAGATTGCCTTTTCCATTTTTACTATTATTGTTAATATTGGTGATTTTGTTAACTTTGCAAAATTTTTCATTTAATAGGGATATAATATTGTGGTGTGCTTTTTGTTTTGCTAATAGTATTGCTGTTCTACCTAAAGAGTCTCTTTTATTTACATCTGCATTCATATTTAATAAAAGTTTAACAATGATTAAATTTCCTTCGTTTGATGCCCACATTAAGGGTGACATTCCACTATTATCACATAAATTTACATCAGTATCGATTGATTCCTTTAAAATGCCACCATTTGTACTACTATTGTTTGTGTGATAATACCCATTTGTAGTTGTTGTTGAGGATGCTACTATGGTTGTAGTTGAGCCATTTGTGTTACTTGACGATGCACCACCATAACCAGATATTGAGCCGATACTATCTTTTTCGCCTCTATCACTATTTGTTCTTTTATTATTCGATATTCTTTCTAATTCCTTTTGTTTTTCAATTTCTTTTTGTTTTGCAAAATAGTCACTGAATAAAACTTCAACCATTTTATCATCCCCTCTTTGAATTGCTGTAATTAACGGTGTCGATGAGTTCTTTGATATGGTATTTGGATTTGCACCATTTCTTAATAATAATGTTACCAACTCCTCTTCACAATTGATTACACACTGATGGAGTGGTGATATTCCTTCATTATTTGAAATATTTGGATTACAATCATACTTTAACAATTCTAACATTATTGACTTTCTACCTAATTCTGATGCCACATTTAATAAAGTTGAACCATTACTATCGACAAGTAAATTTAAATCATGTTTCTTTATATCCTTTAATACTTTTTTAAATACTCCATTACCAATATCTAAACGTATACTTTTAAATGCACGCTTCTTTAATTTACTTTCTGATTGCCCCATTTTAGTTTATGTTTTTTATTTA